AAGGATTGGGGTAAAGCTTTTCCTTGCAGTACACTTCTGTGGGTCTTGGGATCCCATATGTACCAATGTGACAATTTAGCCCCACAACTATCTTACACGTTAAGCTCTTATACATTGCATCTCCCATATCTATACTCAGAGTTGGCTTACTACTTATACTCTCAAACACTGGAAATGAGTAACCTGTATTTCACAAAAAATAGAAGGTTTCAGAAAGTTTTAAGTGCTATATAAATATGAGGGGGTCTTCAAAAAGTTTGTGGAAATGCATATTATGAAAAACTGCATGAATCTCAAAAATGTTTGCACCAAAATAAAATTTATTTCTTAAATTCCATTTTCCATGAACTCTTTCAAGTTACTTATGCATTTGCTGAATTAACTACTGTAATGATTGTTTGTAATAGTTCATCTTGCTAGCTTTTTAAAAAAAGTTATGGGAGTTTGTTATGGTTTTATTTTTTACCACATGAAATTTTTAAATCCATCATTATAAGAAAAGTAAATCTATTTTTCCGTTAAAATGTTGGCAAATATATAGATGTTGGCAAATATAAATGCTGGCAATATTAGCAGCTCAATTGAGATTTGTTGAATGAATTAATGAATGATGCCATAGAGGAGATCAGAAGAGGAGACAACAAATACAATGTTGATTTTCATTTCAATCAGTAGTATTCCTTGAATTTATTACTAAAAAAACTTGTTGTCTATATACCAGACAAATTACAAAAAGATTTAGAGGTTGAACAGGAATTCTAAAATAAATTTCTTCTTAAAAGATTAGATTAAACTTTTTGGCATTGATGATTATGTTTTATTCATCCATTTATTCAATGATTTTTTTGAAAATATGTATTGAGAGCTCACAACAGTAGTAGTGCTAATAATAATCGTAAGTAATTCCAATGTAGAATTTATTTCCTGCAGAGATTGTTTCTTGTGCTCTACACTGATTATCTCACTGAGCCCTTACAACAGCACTAAGCTCCACAGAACAGGTGAGAAAAGGGAGGTGCAGAACTTCACACGGTTTGTCCACAGCCACCTTGCATGTAAATGAATTCTGGATTGAATCCAAGTTAGTCTGACTCCAGAATTCCATATACTTTAGCACTCCAGGACCTTATGGTATGAAGTGTGTGTGCCCAAGGGGAAAAAAAATGTATGTGTGGATCATCCTGTCATGGGGATTACACTGTAATGCCACAGACCAAGACTGTAAGAGAAGGTCATCAAGGCTCTCTTTTTATAGATGAGAACTCACAGCCAGTGAGGTGATGTCACACAAACACCTTTATGGCTGACACAGGTTTGAATGTCCCCATCCGTAGCATTGTCTCTCATTCCAGTTCTGTTTTCACTCAGGCACAGAGCCACAAGCCCCTAAACTATTGGATCTACATACCATTGCTAGAATCACCAAAAAAGTCATATAGAAATAACCTTTAAATATGCAAGTGTATGTCTTTAGAAATATTTTACACTGATAATTGACAGTTTTCAAGCTGAATGAAACTGTTGAAGCTATATATATATTTATATGAATTTGGTCTCACGAAAAATAGGCAAAAATCGACTTTGGCTGTTAAGAGTTGCCACTGGGTCTCTCATCTTCCTGCCACCCTAAGTTTCTAATTAGTGTTCAGTTCCGCAGCTGCATTTCTTAGTAGAACGGCAGGCAATGTCTCATGTAAACACATTGAACCTGCATCTCATTGTCAGCAAAATGGAGAAAATCAGAGCCCCTCAGGTGTGGGGTGGGTGGAGCAGAGAGAGCAGTGTAGTGTGGGTGAGCCTGTACCTGGCAGGGAGTCTGCCTGCCCTGCCCACGCAGGAGGTTGAGAGGGCATGGCGCACCATGTCTCCTGGGGAAGACTCCCTAACCTGACTGCTAGCAGGCTGCGGGAGCCCCAGGAACATTTCCCCTACCCCACCAATCAGGTAGATGGCTCCTGAGTATGAACCAGGCCCACCTGGAAAGCTACCCTGGTTGTGACCTTCAAGCTGATTGGAGAAGCATAGCAGCGCCAACATGGGCTTCATCCTATAGAATTAGTGTTGCTCTGAATTAGCTATGCTCCCTCTGCTTGCCCTTTAAAAGGTGTGCTTGGTCACTAATAAAGCGGACATGATCACTGAAACTTGTCTCCAGTGCTTCTTGCTGAAGAGTGCCATTGCCCCGCCATGCCTACAGTGTGCAGGCCTCACAGGTTGAGCCCGCAGTGTAGGACAAAAACAAAAAGAAAAGCAAACATTTAGTCTCAGCATGAAGACACCTGCTATTTATTTGGGGCATTCTCAGGAAGCCAATGGACTCTATGGACCTGTTGTCTTTATAGATAACAGAAGATAACAGGTAATTGGTAATCGCGACAATTGGTAATCACGATTACCAATGACGCAGGTGGAATCTTCCCCTTTCACTATAGACAGTTTCAGGGAACACTAAAAGTGTTGCTGATTGCTCAAGCCCTGGCCACTTGTGGGCAGATTATCTGCAGTCAGAGCTCCAGCTTCTGAGGTGTTTGGGAACAGACAAAATAGCCCTGGGACTGGCAGAGGGAGGGATCTGCTCTTGGGCCCTACTATGTTTTAGATTCTCTCTTTCTGAATGATGGGAAATAGTCATCGTGTTCTTCCTGACTTTAACTTGAAACATGACAACTCCTAGGAAGAATAAGCAATAACTGTCAAGGTGAGTTGAGGATGTGCTGGAGGACCATGCTGCAAAGCAAGGTAAGGCACATTCAGTTTTGCTTGATAAGCATTACCAACAGCTAGCTAGTATTTATGAAGGGCTTACCACATGTACCTGTGTATTCATCCTCTCAATTGTTAGAACACCTTATTTTACAGAGGAGGAATCTAAGGCACAGAAAAGTGAAGCCAGTTACTAAGTAGCAGACCCTGAAAGGGAGGTGCAGAGTCAAATGTCACTGGCACTCCCTTTATCACATTGCTGCACTGTCTTCCTATGGCCAGGCCTTTAATTTGTGCCCAGGACAATGTATGGCTTGTAATAGGTGCTCAATAAATATTTGCTGGAGTAAATCCAATAAAAGTTAAGCACGGTTGAGAGTCGATCCCTTTTCCACCTTCCTTCCATCTCCATCCCCAGATTCTCTATTAAGTAAGATGCTTTGCTTCTAATGGTGTTTCTCCCTTGGAGATTTGTACTTTTTTTTCCCCCTCATTTTTATGGTAAAATATGAGTGTAAATACATTCTGGATCATAGGACAGCCATCTCCTACCAAGTCCTGTGTTAGATATCTGTGCTATTTATTGGCACCAAGTAGATAACAAGTGTGTTATGCTAGTAAGAAAGGAACAGCAGAAATTCCTAAATGATGGATGGAATGAAAGAAAAGAGGAGAGTGAATCTAGTCAGTTTCTGGCACCTCACAGCAGCACACTGGAGCCAACACAGCAGCACCCACACCTCAGCACTCAGTACCACTGTGATGCTGGTAGTAGTTGAGGGAACACTGCTAGCTGGTTTTTTTTTTTTTTTAGGTTTATTTATTTATTTGAAAATCAGAGTTACACAGAAAGAGGAGAGGCAGAGAGAGAGAGAGAGAGAGGTCTTCTATCCGATGGTTCACTCCCCAATTGACTGCAATGGCCAGAGCTGTGAAGCCGGTAGCCAGGACCTTCCTCCGAGTCTCCCACGCTGGTGCAGGGGCCCAAGGACTTGGGGCATCCTCTAATGCTTTCCCAGGCCATAGCAGAGAGCTGGATCAGAAGAGGAGCAGCCGGGACTAGAACCAGTGCCTATATGGGATACTGGGGCTTCAGGCCAGGGAGTTAACCCGCTGTGCCAAAGCGCAGGCCCCCACTGCTAGTTTTATTGCTCGGGAAGAAACTGTTTGATTCGTAAATTTGCTTTGGTTTGTCCAAAAGCTGCAGCAGAAGTTTAGATCTGGGTTTATGTCTTTAATCATCATTGTAATATTCTAAAAGAAAGTCATTTAAGCCAAGATTGGGAAGCCTAAGAAGCATTTTAGAATCGAGAAAATACGTTTCCTTCATGCTTGAGAAATATGTTCACGGCTTTCCTAGTTAAAATTGACTTCAAACACATCACTTAAGGCACGTCAAACACACTTTATATGGCGATCGCGATTAGGCACACCTATTCTGAGAGCAGGCTTTGATTAGGGGGAAGGAAACGTAATGGGCTTGATAGAAAAACGTGCTTCGTTATAAAAATCTACCCTAGTATTCAGAAGCCGTGTGTGACTTCCTAGGAGTTGATAAATGTCTAAATTTCCAGTTCCTTATGGTAAGTAACGGTCATCTCGGGTTTGCGGGAGCCGGGTCAGGCTGCAGCACTAGGTTGTTAAATAGCCAGATCACTGGTGTCGCTAAGACCCTGCGCTGAGAACCCCAGGGAGGCACTGGGGGAAGCAGGCCCACTGGGCGCGGTGGTGACTGCACCACCACCGTGCCCCGACGTAGACACAAGGGTGCTTCGGCCCCAGGCACCCGAGCACCTGGGTGCGGTAGACGAGGCAAGGCGCTGGTGGTCTCGCCACCCGAAGGCAGCTATCAGTCTCTTGGAGGCCCCTGAGACACCGGCTGGGCTGGAAGGCGCACGGTCACCTTCAAGCGCGCAAAATGTAGGTAGGATGAGGAGCGCCCGGGTTTCGCGTCTAATCCTCAACTTTGCCGGGACGGAAGGCGGGTGACCAGATGCGGCCTGGGTCTCCAGTTCTAGGCTGGCCGAGGGACGCGTTGTCCTCGGGGAAAGCGTCGCCTTGGCGAGCCGGCGGCCGAGCGGGTGTTCCAAGGGTGACTGCGGGCAGGTCCTGCGCAGGGCGGCCACCTGCGCGCTGCAGCCCGGCCTCGGGCACTCTCGGCGCCGCCCCTGCCCGAGCCGGAGTCGCGCGGCGAGGGGAGGGGGCGCGGGCCGGGTGCCGAGGGGCGGGCGGCGGCCGCCGCTTCCCCGAGGCCGGAGGCGGGGCGGGCGGGCCTCGCGAAGCGCGGGGGGCGGACCCGCCCGCTGCCGGCTCTGCTCGCCCGCTCGCTCGCATTCGGTGGCGCCGCGGGGCAGGCATGGGAGCCGCGCGCGCCTTCCCGGATCCCACACCTGTCTGAGCGGCGCAGCGAACCGCGGCCCGGGCGGTCTGCTCGGCGCGGGTGAGTGCGGGCGCGGGCTGGGGGCATCCGCCAGGGCGCCGGGGCAGCGAGGCGCTGGGAGGAACGGGACAAAGGACCCGCGCTGGGTGGGGTGACTGCGGCTGCTGGGGGCACCGGAGACCGCACCCGGGCCGCCGTCGGGTTTCCAGGCTGGAACTAGGGAGCTCCAGGGAGACCCAGGGGCTGCAGGGCATTTGGATTCATTTAATGTCACCCGTGGAGCTGCGATCTTAGACGCCAGGCTCTGGAAGGGTGCCGTGAAGGAGCCGGCTCCAGCAGGCTCTCCTCCCGCTGGCAACACCCCCAGCCCCTATGCACACTTCACCAACACTTAGTCTCCTTGAGTTTTGCATATGATGTGATTCCATCAAGCTCTGAGCATTAATTTTTAACCCTAGACACGTGATTGGGAACACGCCTTAGCAAGCAAGAGAAGTTCAGGCAAACACAGGTTAGAAAATAGGATCTTTTCTCCGGAGTTTTTAACTGATGACCATGGACTAACCCTACAAACTACTGTCTGAACTATCAACAAGTTATTGGAAGCAAGTATTTCTCTTCAGCCTGTAGCCATTCATCAAGAGTTATTAGTTTTTAAATAAAAGGGTTTTTACAAGTTTTTTAAAAAAATTTAAAAAGCAGAGTGGATTCACTTAGATAAAGGAACACCACTGCTGTGCTCCAGGAAACAAATCAGGTTTGTTTTCAAGCATCTCTGAGAAAGCAGCTGATTAAAATGCTGTTTGCTTTATTGCCCGTTGGGTGACACCCATGAGAATTCAGACACAGCCCTTGGCTGGTGGGAAGCTCCAGCTTGTTCAGTATCAGGGTTGGAATAGTGCCTGCTTCTCTCAGCTCTGGACACTGAACTTGAAAGGTGCCTGTCTGTCTCTAAGGATCAGTCAGGCCAATGCCAGAGTCATCTTCACGTGGCCACATGGAAAGAGTTGAAACCAGCTGTTGCCAAATCTCTATGCCAAATTAATATCAAGATATTCATTGCATGCTGTTTCAAGATCCTGCTTGTGCATGAGAACATTCAAACCCGGCTTTATAACTACCTGTCAAGAAAACTATTAGGAGTGTACTGGAGATGGAATCAGGAGGAGGAACATAGAAAATAGGACAGAAGTTGCCACATTTAGTTGTGAAAGTGTTTGTGATCACATGCACAGCATCTGCATACGAATAACTTCTTCACTTGTATTTTTTTCCACTTAAATAAAGTCAAGATGTAACTTAACAAGATGCAACTAGGCACTTCTATGCCTAACCTGGTAAGGAAGCATTTTCCCAAGGTTGCTACAATGGATCTCATTTTTGTAACACTGACAATTTATTCAGGTAGATGGTGAATGTGGGCATTTTTATGTCTGTAGTGTAAGTGCCAAAGTGACCATTAGCGTGTCTGAGAACTTGTTGCCCCCAGTCTGCAGTGTGTAATAGTCTCAGGTTCTCCCGGACGTCTCTTCTCACAGGTCCTTTAGGATTTAATCCACCAAGCATTGTTGATGCATAACTCCCACTGACTCTGGGGAATTTGTTTCTCATGGTCTGGCCATTGACAGTTTTACACACTCTGTTCTTTTTCTCCTGCCAGGTTAATGGCAGACTCACTAGGTAGTTGTCTGATAGAGAAGAAGTTAAACTTCGTTTGACTGTGAGATTGTGTCTACGGTTGCTGGACTTTAAAGTTCCCCTAGTTTCCTGTACAGACCGTAATTCCTAAACCATTATATGAGTAAGTCTGTTTTTTGCTTTAACGGGTTCTGTGATTGCAGAGTATTCAGAGAGCTTTGTTCTTTCTTAAGTGTTTGCTTTAGGAATTAGCGCAGTTTCAATGTTCAGTGTCCCTGGCCCCAGATCCCGTGGAAGACCCTTTGTCATCCTTCCAATTGCTGTCCAAAACTTTTATCTTTTGAAAACTTTCCTACTGTTTCTTTCTGTCGCGTCTGTTTATAGCAGTCACAGGAATTCATGTGCCGTACAATGGAGAATGTATGTCCTAAGGATTCCTTTTCCCTCGCCGCCCTTGGCTGTGGGAGTTAAATCACTGGCCCTCTGGAGGAGCTCTGTGTTGTTGCAGGTTTTTTTGAAGATGAAGGTGCTTAACTAGAGACAGCAGTCACAGTGTCCAGTCTCCAAAGAGATTACTGTTGTTTGCGCATATGGTAATGTGCAAAGTCCATCCATTGTATTAGTGGGCTGATGGGGTAGCAGCATCCTCAAAAGTGTAAGTATTTTTAGACAGCAGACGGTGCCTCATACTGAGTGATGGAGCACAGAGTGTGTAACCCTTCTGTGAGTCAGGTGCCCAGAGGTGGAAAAGGAATACAGTTCCTGTATTACTAAGCATAGTGAAAAAACATTTGCTTACCTTAGGTTTCCACTCTGCTTTGTCATTTAGGTGAAGTGATGCATGCAAATACTTAGTTGGAAGTTTTAAAAGATAATTTATGTTTATGAGGAATCTCTACCCAGCAAAGTCTTACTCCTAGAAATGATATAGTGTGAATCCAAATTTTCTTCATCCTGGTTTAGATATAATGAGGATAGATTTGGATATCTTCATTTCTTTTTTTAAAGAGTTTTTCAGACAGTTCAACAAGGATATTGTGATTCATTTGTAAAAGTGAATGAGTTTAGCTGTTACCCATTAGTTACCTCCCCAGTTATGGGATTATAAGTGTTTCTATTGAATCTGTTTACACCCTGGAGTGTTTATGTTCAAATAAACCTAAATGGGCATAGCACACAAGTTTACCTAAAGTTCATCAAAAATAAAATAATGTTTGTCCTCTGAGAAATTGTTCCATTATCAAATGAATTGAGAAGTTACTGCAGAGCTGCCAAATTAATGGCAAAGCTTCACAGACATCCTTGTTTGGGCTGTTCTTGTGGATGAGTCAGGATGGACTATGAATGCCTCAGGGGAAACCCTTGGTGGACAGAGCTGTTGCTTCCTCTCTCCATTTTCTTTGGGAGCTATCCTGGAAGGACCAAGTCATTCCTCTACTCAGCTCTTAAAAGCCATTCCCTATTGGAGTCCTTTGTTACCTTTGCAGACTGATCAGGGAAATCTGATTAGCATGATAAATTTCCTTTCCCTTTTCCCCTGTACCTCCAACCTCCAGAATTCTTTGAGCGGATGCTTTTTTTTTTTTTTTTTTTTTTTTTTTTTTTTTTTTGACAGAGTTAGACAGTGAGAGAGAGAGCGACAGAGAGAAAGGTCTTCCTTTTTCCGTTGGTTCACCCCCAAGTGGCTACTCTGGCCGGTGCATTGCGGCCGGCGTGCTGCACTGATCTGAAGCCAGGAGCAAGGTGCTTCCTCCTGGTCTCCCACGCGGGTGCAGGGCCCAAGCACTTGGGCCATCCTCCACTGCACTCCTGGGCCACAGCAGAGAGCTGGACTGGAAGAGGAGCAGCCGGGACAGGATCCAGCGCCCCGACCAGGACTAGAACCCCGGGGTGCCAGTGCCACAGGAGGAGGATTAGCCTAGTGAGCCGTGGCACTGGCCAGAGCTGATACTTCTGAGCAGTAAGGGGCATGCAGACATCTTTTGTAAATAACACAGTTGTCAATCTGGACTTTTGTGTTCCTAGAAAATTATAAAATTAGAGAATCCTGCACCTGAAAACGCCACTTAAAGAGATCATGTGGTTCAGGTTGTTGTTCAGAATAATTTCTAATCCACCATAAATAAACATTTTGGGGGGAAGCATTTGGCACAGTGGTTAAGACACCTCTTGATATGGCCACATCTCGTATCTGAATAACTGGGATTGCATCTTGGCTCCACCTCCCATTCCAGCTTCCTGCTGATCCACACCCTGGGAAGCAGCATGTGATGGCTCAAGTGGTTGGGTCCCTGCTACCCATGTTAGAAACTCAGATTGAGTTCCCAGCTCCAGAGTTCACTATTGCAATGATTAGGAGAGTTAACCGGCAGATGGTACATCTCAATCTCTCTCTCCCCTCCACCCACCTTTCAAATAAGTAAAACTATATTTTAAAATGTAAAAATTAATGTTTTAAAGTAAATGAGCAGTTGGTAAGGGAGTGAGCAACTTAAGAAGCTTGTAATCTTTTTTTTTAGGGTTTATTTATTTGAAAGGTAGAGTTACAGACAGAGGGAGAGACAGAGAAAGGTCTTCCATCTGCTGGTTCACTCCCCAAATGGCTGCAGCAGCTAGAGCTGGGCTGATCTGAAGCCAGGAGTCAGGAGCCAGGAGCTTCTTCTGGGTCTTCCAGGTGCATCCAGGAACCCAAGGACTTGGGCCATCTTCCACTGACAAGTTGATTCTACAAGTCCTTTTCTCACAGGTAGCTAACCTGGTCCCCATTCTGAGCAAAATTACCAGCATTTAAAGACTGAATTGGTAGTAATGTATAAAATGGGAGATTGCTGTAGCATTCTCTAAAGGTTCTTGGAATGATTCCAGAGGTTCTTGGCATGTGATTACCCATCATTTTGCCAAAGAATCCATTTGGTCCTCTATATTTGAGAGGTCAGAGTGAGGCTATGGCAAGTAAGAGCCCTGCCAACTGCCCAGCACCCATACCCCAGGAGAGGACTCCTCCCCTCTCTCCATACCCAGTAACATCATGAACTGATTTCTAGTAGCATAGTTTCTTTTTGAAACACAAAGTAAAAAAAGACATGTCATGGTGGCAAATGTGAAATGGGGCATGCTTTAAGTCCTTTAGAAAGTATTTTTTAAATAAACAAGGATTTACTATACAGGCAAAGCAGTTGGGAAATTGAAATTAGAGTTAATTTTGCCTGCGACAGGGGTTTAATTCTTTAAGACAAGGTTCCTACATGGATTTTATGTGTGCATATTTGCACTAGTTTCTGATTTTTTTCTGCATTTATCTTCCCTGGACACCTGCCAACAGATGATTTTAATTTTGTGCAAAGGGACAAAGATAAAGGCAGATGTCACCAGAAGAGTTTTGGTGCAGTTGATAATTCAAGCTCTTCTCTCCCAGTATACAACTAACATACAGATTTCAGATGTGGGGTTTGAAGATTCATGTTCTAGATGATAATATGAGCATATCCTATGTAATATGTTCCTTAGGCACACTGGAAATATACAGTACCTACAATTTATGTCTCATCTCCTACACACTCTCCATACTTGCCAACTTGGACCTCTGATTCTGTGTTTTCTGTCTTAAGATAAACCAAAGTGAAACTTGACTTACCATATCTGCTGTTCCATGCTAGCAACAGCAACATTCTCCACATTAGTCAATGGGGGGGGGGGCGGGGGGTATGTGATGAAGAGATGGGCCTCAGGGGTCAGCCATGTGGGAGATGCATGATTCCTCCTAGTGCATGTCACACTTGGCAGGAATTCTGCTGTGAGTGGGACGTTTAATCACCTAGACAACAACTTACAGAGAGAAAAGGCTGTGTAAGCTCTAGATAAGCTCAAGGGCTGGGTCCTTGGCCAGTTAATGAGAATAATCAGAAACAGATCCCTGCCCCGAAGATGCCCTAGAGCATTGCCATAACCACAGCTATTCCATTGCCTTGTCTGCTGGCATCAGCGTCTCCTTCCTAGCCCGCTGACAGTCTTTACACTCAGCAGTGCCTCGACAAGCACACACAAACAGGTGCATACACTTATATATGCACCGCATGATTTCAAGGATTAAAAAAATAATTAAATGTATTTCCTCCCCTGGAGAGGGCTCAAGGACCCTTCCTGTTTAGAAAGATGGGCAGAAGCAGAGAAGGAATCAGCACGTCCCAGGAATTAACTTTTATCTGGGACTTTATTCTCCACCCCTCCATCCCTGTTCTCTCTGACAGAGTGGAATCCAAGAGAAATAGTCAAGAAGAAAAGATTTCAGGGTGGGTGTGGTGCACACATATTTTAGAAATATAGTGGTGATGGGAATGTGATCAGCTGGACCAGATCAGATCGATGGGGTTTTCTAGTTCTATGTAAAAGAAAGCAAAATGTACCCTGAAGTTTCAACAGGTCTGCACCCTCAGACAGGAGAATGAAAATAACGGAGGTTGCCTCCTGCTGGCCTCTTGAGACCCACCCCCTCTTTGTCCTTCTTTGAGGATTTGATTGTGAATGATTTACTTTATCCACTGAGACAGCTTCTCTAGAGCCAGAAAATTAAGGGCCAGTCAATTGCTGCTTAAGCATTTATGAAAGTACTTCCAATTCTCATCTCTGTTTTCCTTGTGGGATGAAGGATCAGGGTCTTTAACACCTTTCAGGACAAAATTCAAACCCCCTCATTTAAAGCACACAGCCCTTCAGAACCTGGCTCCTGCCTGCTGCCTCCACCACCACCACCTCTGCTCCACCCTTGCGGAGCTAAGGATAATTCCTCAAGTGACTCACACTGTTGCTCATCTTCATGCCCCTGCACAGATGCCTGTTCCTCCTCCTCTGTGTCCATTTCTCTCCTATGTTATCCAACTTCCCTTCAACCTTCATGCTCATCCCAGGCATCACCTCCCCTGGAACTGCCTCCCCTATTATCCACACTGACTTCACACCCCCTCTGTGACTGTATCATTCACATGCATCTCCATCATGAGCAATCAAAATGCATCATTCAAAAAAATCTTATACTCACATCACTTATTCATTCTTATATTAACACGAGCATTCCTTGGATACATTTTTTGAGGGCCAGGCTTTTTTTTATTGTTTACTTATTTGAGAAGTAGAGCTACAGACAGTGGGAGAGACAGAAAAAAGGTCTCCATCTGCTGGTTCACTCCCCAAATGGCTGCAATGGCTAGAACTGGGCCACTCTGAAGCCAGGAACCAGGAGCCTCCTCTGGTCTACCACACAGTTACAAGGGCCCAAGCACTTGGGCCATTTTCCACTGCTTTACCAGGCCATAGGCAGAGAGCTGGATTGGAAGTGGCCAGCCAGGACATGAACTGGCACCCATATGGGATCCTGGTGCCGCAGGTGGAGGCTTAGCACACTAAGCCACAGCATCAACCCCGGGCTGGGCTTTCTGTACAGCAGTGCCTGGGTTCAAGTCCCAGCTCTGCTTCCAGTTGCAGCCTCATGTGTACTAAGGGAGGCAGCAAGTGGTGGCTGAGATATTTGGGTCCCTGGCATCCACATGGGAGACCCAGATTGAGTTCCAGCCTCCTGGCTTTATTCTGATCTAGCTCTAGCTGTTGTAGGCATTTGGGGAAGGAATCAGCAAATGGAAGATCTCTCTTGCATGCTCTCTGTCTCTGCCTTTCAAATAAATAAAACAGAAATGTTTGAGTGCTAGCATAGACCCAAATTCAGGCATTTAGACTATGTGGGAACAGTTTCAAACACTTGTAAAAGTAACCAACAGTAACAGTCAGTAGTATTCCTATTGCAAGATTAGAGCTTTAGGCTGGTGTTGTGGCGTAACAGGTTAAGCCACTGCCTATAACACCAGCATCCCACATAGGAGCTGGTTCGAGTCTGGCTGCTCCACATCTGATCCAGCTTTCTGCTAATACAGCTGGGAAACTAGCAGAAAATGGCCCAAGTACTTGAGCCCCTGCACCCATATGGGAGACTCAGATGAAGATCCTGGCTTCAGCTTGGCCCACCCCTGGCTGTGGAGGTCATTTGGGAAGTGAACCCAGTGAATGGGAGATCTCTCTCTCTCTCTCTCTGTGTATGTGTGTATATATATATGTGTGTGTATATATATATACATATTCATATATATATATATATAAAATCTCTCTCCCTGTGTGTAACTCTGCCTTTCAAATAAACAAAAAAATTTTTTTAAAAAAAGAGTTTTGGGTCTTTGGCAAAAATTCTGCTGGTATAAAAAATAATCCAAAGGAAGAAGAAATATTTTGTTTGTTAGAGATCTTCCTTCTTTGGAACTAAATATATAATAGTAAAGATTACTTTACATTCAAAGCAGAAAGCCTCATGCCCTGAAAACTTTCCAAGTGCATGTCATAGTGAGGATGAGAGAGAAAAAAGGAGAGAAAGGGGGACCAGAGAGCTAGGAGGGGCAGCATTTAGAATTCAGCATGGAGAAGGCTCTAAAGCACGTGGAGATCAGTGCTGGGCAGCAGTCCAGCTGAGAACCCTGGCAATAGGGTGTCCTGAGGGCACCTTCAACACACAAGGGAAGGAACACCTGGTTGCACTTGCGGGCACTCAGCCACAAGACTGATCCCAAGGTTAAGCCCCAGCATTGTAAATGAGGCCATTTCCTAAAGATTCCCCTCCACACCCTGATTCCTGAGGAAGGCGGGCAGACTTGGAAACAATGGCCGGCGCACTGCTGGGCTTCATCATCTGCTGTTGGTGAACTTCAGCCCTTGCCCTCCTGACCTGCCTGTCTTTGTTTCTACAGAATGGTGCTCAGCATGACGGGGATTCCAGGACTCCTCATCCTTCTCTTCTTCCTGCTCTGTGCTGTTGGACAGGTGAGCCCTTACAGTGCCTCCTGGAAACCCACGTGGCCTGCTTACCGCCTGCCTGTCGTCTTGCCCCAGTCTACCCTCAACCTAGCCAAGCCAGACTTTGCAGCTGAAGCAAAATTGGAAGTGTCCTCTTCATGTGGTCCCCAGTGTCATAAGGGCAGTCCTCTGCCCACATACGAAGAGGTCAAGCAGTACCTGTCGTATGAAACGCTGTACGCCAATGGCAGCCGCACAGAGACGCAGGTGGGCATTTATGTTCTCAGCAATGGTGGAGGTAGGGCCCAACGCGGAGACTCAGAGTCTTCGGGGAGGTCTCGGAGGAAGCGGCAGATTTATGGCTACGACAGCAGGTTCAGCATTTTTGGGAAGGACTTCCTGCTCAACTACCCTTTCTCAACATCAGTGAAGTTATCTACAGGCTGCACCGGCACCCTGGTGGCAGAAAAGCATGTCCTCACAGCTGCACACTGCATACATGATGGAAAAACCTATGTGAAAGGGACACAGAAACTTCGAGTGGGCTTCCTCAAGCCCAAGTTTAAAGATGGCAGCCGAGGGGCCAACAACTCGAGCTCAGCCATACCCGAAAAGATGAAATTTCAATGGATCCGTGTGAAACGCACCCACGTACCCAAGGGCTGGATCAAAGGCAACGCCAATGACATTGGCATGGATTATGACTACGCCCTCTTGGAACTCAAGAAACCCCACAAGAGAAAGTTCATGAAGATTGGGGTGAGCCCTCCCGCCAAACAGCTGCCAGGGGGCAGAATCCACTTCTCCGGTTATGATAATGACCGGCCAGGCAACTTAGTGTACCGCTTCTGTGATGTCAAAGACGAGACCTATGACCTGCTGTACCAGCAGTGTGATGCCCAGCCCGGGGCCAGCGGCTCAGGGGTCTACGTGAGGATGTGGAAGAGACAGCAGCAGAAGTGGGAGCGAAAAATTATTGGCATCTTCTCAGGGCACCAGTGGGTGGACATGAATGGTTCTCCACAAGATTTCAATGTGGCCGTTAGAATCACTCCTCTCAAATACGCCCAGATTTGCTATTGGATTAAAGGAAATTACCTGGATTGTAGAGAGGGGTGACACAGTGTTCCCTCCCGGCAGCACTTAGTGGTCTTTGTGTACTTATTGTAGAAGAGGCCACATTTGTCATTGTGTGTGTGTGTGTGTGTGTGTGTGAAAGAGAGAGAGAGAGAGATTAACGTGTCAAATAGTATATTTTACCTAATTTCTTAAAATTGCAAGATGACTGGCTTCATTTTTGTAACTGGTTTGTGCATCATGTCCTATCATTTAAGCAGTTTGAAAACATTCTTTTGCATAGAAATAAGAAAAATACTGATGTTTGAAGCAATGGGGAATACTTGCTAATTAAGTTAATCTTTTATTTTCTGGAGAACTCTGATTTTTATTTCACCTGAACTTGTTTCAGAGGTTTATATTAAATATGTGGAATACAGGGGATATGAGTTGTTCTCTGTGTATATTTTCGTCTGAGAGTCCTCTTTTGTGTGTTTTCCATGCCTGATCATTAATGCTTCCAGATGGTACTGTGCTCCCCCACATATAACTCGTAGGAATTTTTATAACATTTTTTAGATAGGAAGTTATAATATTTTGGATTTGGGGCATTTACACAGCAGTCCTTGAACAGCAAAATAATTTGAATTGAAACACATTTTAGCCATATCTTACTGTAAACCAGCACTCCCCAGCTGCTTCTGGGTTTGAAAACGGTTTCTCTTCCAAAGACGGAGCTCCTGCATTCTGGGAAGCATACGGCTCTGCCAACTTTGCAGTCACACCAGAGTAATCAAGATCATTTCTCCCAGTTCTTTCCATTTAACAGGATTTCACTTACATTTCTAGAACTAGATGTTTTTCAGAAGACAGTAATCAGGGCCTAATTAGACCAGGCTGTATGGCTTCCCAGCTAACAGTTGTGGTCACATTAAAAACAATCATAGCATTTCACCCGGGGAGTGTAGCACATCTCATGTTTTATCATTTGGTTGGAGTAATTTAAAATGAATTAAATTCCAGAGAACAATGGATGCATTGCTTGGCAGATGGCACAACAGAATAACCACTTGTTTGGAGCTTGGCACTGGCAACAAACCTCATCAAAAATTATTCTGCATGGTTTTCAGCGTGCTCTCAGGGAACTGTGTACTTGTTCAGATTGGAAACCTATCTCTTTTACTATACTTATAGTAAAAATACTTGCAAGTTGCTTTAAGAAAAACTAAGGCTTTTTTAAAAGAGGGTTCCTTTTGCTGGAGTGTTCTGGGCTACAGGTACCTAGAATCATAAATAATGGTAAAAATGAAAATTGGGAAAATGCAAAGTAGATCAGAATTTTGCACTCCAATAAGTGCCTTCAGAAATGTTGTATCAGTATGGTAATCCTAGCATATAAAGGAAATACTTTGACATATTCTATGTTTTCATTTTATAGCTCTCAGTCTAAGTACTGTTTCTAAATGTGTCAGTGGAGAAAACAAAATATGCAAATGAAATACAAAGTAGATATGTTGCTTGCATCCTGGGTGATTTCAACCTATGTTGTGACTGTTGGTGAAGTTATTCAATTATAGCAGTACCAATTAAACATTCTATGGGTGACTTGTTGCTTGTCTTACTTGGGCTTTTCAAAAAGATACTCTTGATAAGACACCCAAGAAACCTACAACCATAGTGCTTTCTTCAAATCACATAAGAAATACAGTGCAGAGTGGGACAATGCAGGGCTGCCAGGAATCTTCTAAGTTCCAGTACAATTTGTTTTGGAATATGACAGGAATCTCACCTGAGGAGTAAGCGAGATCTCCATTTCTACATTTGGTACTTGGGGTTTTTGCTTTTGCTTGGTGCAGAGATTTTGCTGAACACCTAGACCAGGACTGGTTTAAAAAAATAGATAATCTCTTTGTGAAACACCTTGATTTTTTTTTAATTTTGATTTCTTGCAAAGCTAGTCAGTGGCACCAAATCAAAATAGTATCAATATTTTTTTTAGTATCAATGTTTAGTTTTCAAGTAGATGTAATTTACTTTTAAAAAAGCATCCATATGCCATGAAAATGTAATTTACTAAAAATAAAAGTGTCCATATGTCGTACACAGCAAAACTGATAGCATCATAAAAGAAAATTGTAAAGTAATGCAATGTGTCCATATTTTTAGTGGTAATTAAAGCCTAACTGTCATATCTGAAAGAAAGAACTCATTATATTCTTACTATAGCTAGTACTTTATGAGTTATATACATGTATGAGTTATATACATGGTAAGCATACATTTCTAATAGGGATAGTAGAACAAGGCTTCTCAAAGGGCATTTCTTAGATGCTTGTCCCTCCAGATTTCCTGCCAAAAATAAAAAGGGTACTGTGATTAAGTAGGAGGGAGACATCTCTCACTAATCCTTCTCTTTATCAGGTATCACACACCTGTTCACACACTAGGAGGTCTAAGTCCTGCAGAACACATAGACATGTTTGTGTTTCAAAGTTTGCATTTCAACATGCATTTTTAATCGTGGAAACTTTGGTTCTCATCCAATGGCTACGGACAATCTACTGCTCTAATAAATACATTTTGGGGGTAGCTCTGACGGCCCAGTGGCAAACGTGATAAAGCAAAAAATACAATGCACCTGCATAGAATCAGGCATCAGTGCCTTTGGGGTTTAACTAGACCCTGGAAGCAAGATTTGGAAATGTTCACAGAATAAAATGGTAAAAGTTAATTTACGAATTATTTGTCACTGAGAATCAAAAAGTGGCTGGCAGGGGCAGGTGTTGTGCTGCAATAGGTTAAGCCACCACTTGGGACACCCACATCCTGTATTGGAGTGCCTGGTTTGCAAGTCCAGGCTACTTCACTTCCCATCCAGCTTCCTGCTGGTGCACTTGGGAAAGTAGCAGAGTACAGCCCAAATGTTTGTGCCCCTACCACCCACATAGGAGATTCTAGAGAAGTTCCTGACTCTTGGTTTTTGCCTACCTCAATTCTGGCAATTGTGGCCATTTGGGGAATGAACCAGCAGATGGATGATCTCTCTCTCTCTCTGCCATCCCCCCAATCTCCTCTATCTGGGTTATTCTACATTTCAAATAAATGAATAAATCTTATTTTTAAAAAGGTGGCTGAAACAATTTGAGACTTTTTCAGTGGACTTATTGAGCACTTGGAATTTTGGAAAGAAGCTAGTGTAAAAACAAGCATGAGTCAATAAGTGGTAGAGTTGCATATATATATACACACACTTCTCTCTCTCTCTCTCTCTTTCTGTCTCTCATCTCTATCTCTATCTCTCTCTCCCACTCACTCTATGTTTTGGACCAGGAAGGGATTGGAATACCAAGATCATGCTCCTAATTCCCTGTTCTTTGTGTAGCTCAGTGTTCCTGCTCAGTGGGAGATGAAGCCCCCAGTGACACCTGGGTCACATATTTGAGATAGCAGCCTCCATAGGAGGTCTTTAACTGAGAACTGGCTGAGGATGATGAAGCCTGCCCTGGCCTGACAGCTTTCTGTGACTGCCTGCCAACTGAGGGGCAGGAGTACAGTCATGCAGGTGTCTGGAGGAATTCTGACAGCAGTCTGCTGCACTTCCACACCTCAGCCAGGGAAGGCTGGTGGACAGAACTTCCTTCCTGCTCTGCCTCCTGTCCGTGTCTGCCATCTTTCTTTATTCTTGTTATGAACCAAGTTAAGGTTGTCTTGAAGCTCCCTCTGTCTACTGACTGCTATGGTTGTTTGATAGAGTTACCTTTTAATTGGTCATCCAGAGTGGAATTATCTTGAAACTGAAAGGGAAGACTATTAATGAGGAAGTTGGACACAGGTAGAAATCTGGTATGTCCAGGGCAAAGAGGCTTCATGGATCCTCTCAATGATTAAATCCTTCGAAGCACTTTGCAGACTGCAGACTCACAGCAGTCCTTGCTGACCTGAGAACCACGCCGGACTGCAGCTTCCTAGACTTTCACTGTGGCTCCTGCTGTGCCCCTTCTTTGCCTGGATCAGCATCCCAAGGGCCCCCGACAGGGAAAGGCCATTTAAAAATCCTATGTCTAAAGTACATAGGTGGTAAACAAGACCATTTTTAGCAGATGCACAACACATTTATTTTTAGTCTGGTGTTTCCCCAGAGGAGGAAATAAATCCGCTTCCAGGTCAAGAGTAAACAAGGCTGAGAGCTGGGACAGCTCTCAGCTGTGAGAAGGTGACGGCCTTGGGGTTGAACAGACTGAAGCCATAGTTGCCTCTTGCCTTTTGGAGATTAAATTTCAATGCAGTTTAATGTAAAATGTAAACCCTCCAGCCTGGGTCAAAGGTCCCTCTTCTGACCTCCAGCTCCTCTGCTAAAGCAGGAGGAGGGGAAGGGCAGCTATCTTTACCTGATTTGCTGTGGTTATGTCTTCTCCTCCATCATGGCTGCTTCTCAGATAGCCCCACCTCTTCCACCCTTTTACCTCTTACCCTTGGTGATATAACCCTGTGCTTCCTGCTGTTGGGGCACCCTTACCCAGCAGCCCTCTCAAGTGAAGAACCAACAGATGCTCAAGCCCAGTCTTCCAAACCCGCATAACCCATAGGAAACTCGGACTTGCTACACCTGACTGACAGCTGCCCATTGAAAACCTGGGGGTGAAGTGTTTCAAGCTCAGAGAACTGAAATGCACAGGCTCCTAGCAGCATCAAATTTTGTGTGCTCAGGAGATGAAGGCCCATGTGACCAGAGCAGTGTGACTAAGGAAGAGGAGAGGGGATTTCAAGAGCGATTCGGGCCAGCTCAGATAGGAATTCAGGATTCTGATGGGGCTTTGGGGATCATTCTAATTGTCAGGGGGTACAGGAGAAAGACTGTAAGTAGCGGACTTAGCAGAAGGGTCTAACCAGGACCAGCTTTTCTGTGAGGTGCAGTATCTAGGGCCCACAATAATTCTAGGTATTCACAAAAATGTTTTAAAATCAGAAGAAAACAGTGAATGTTTAATTGTAATATAAATTTAGTATATGGTATCAATATAATTATATATATACCAATGCAGTCATAAAATACAACTTATAATATTTTTAATGGAGGAAGGGGCCTATGAAGACAAAAGTGCCTGGGGCCCACAAAAGTCACAATGCTACCCTGAGTCAGATTCATTTTTAACAGCATCTCTTTCGATATTAATTGGAAAATGGATTTTAGGGGGTGAAATGGGAAGAAATGGAGATAACTTTGACTAAGGAAGTAGAGAGTATGAATAGCAGTCATGTGTGGAATAGAGTGTATATTTGAAAACAGAGCCCACATGAATAGGTTGTGGTAAAAAGAATCAAGAGTGACTCCTGGGTTTGGAACCTCAGCACCCTGGTAGATTCCAAGTGCCATTTGCTGAGATGGTAAAGAGAATTAGGCTTGGGTGGGATGAAAGTCAAGAATCCATGTATCTGGATCATGTTGGGTTTTAAAGGTCTACTAGGGGCAGGCTTTTAGCCTAGTGGTTAAGATGCCAGTAAGGAAGTCTGCTTCCCACATCCAGGTGCCTGGCCCCAACTCCCAGCTCCAGCTCATGATTCTTGCTTCCTGATAATACAGACCCTGGGAGGCAACTGTGATGATTCAAGTAATTGGGTTCCTACTGCCCATAGGGGAGACCTGGACTGCGTTCCTAGCTTCAGCCTTTAGCCATTGCTGGCATTTGGAAAGTGATCTAGCTAATAGAAGTGAGGCATCTATCTCTACTTCTATTTGTGTCTTTATGTGTGTCTCCATCTGCGTGTCTGTCTCTTCCTCTCAAAGACAAAAATTTAATACTCCCAAACTCTGATTCCTTTCCAACTCTCCCTTCTTTAAAAAATAAAATAAAATAAAATATCTAGTAGTCACCCAAAGGTCAATGTCAAATGAGCAGTAGACTCTCCAATGGTGAAGTTCAGTAGAAAGACCTCAAGTCTGTGTGTGGATGGTACATAAAATCAAGACTGAGATAACATCAGCTGGGGGGAAAGGTGGCTTGAACAGAGAATAGGGCGGAGGACAGAGCCCTGTTTCACCAGCATGCACAGGCTGAGTTCAGTAGAAGAGGAGGAGGAAGCATGGAAGCAGATAGAAGGAGGTCAGTGAGATCAGAAGAAAATCAAGAAAAGGTGTCCAACAGGAGAAAGTTTGAAGCTATGCTAGGGGAGGAAGGAATAAAGGGTGGGACAAGGTGAGGTTGTGTTGACAAATGTCCCTCTGGCTACTACGGACAAGGTGGGGTGTAGGGCAGGAGATAAAGGGGGCATGTCTATTTAATCCTCCACACCCCAGCCCAGCTCTTTTCATGACAAGCAGGACCTCACTTTATGCATCTCTCAACTCCCCATTGTACAAGCACAGGGCCCTGCTCACCAGGTGTGCACACTCAATACCTATGAATGAACGGTTAATTAACCAAATCCTCTTATGGGAACTTGGGGCAGCTCTGCCCACAGAAAATGCAAGAACTCAGGGCCAATCCCTTCCTGAGGGAATCCAGGTTTTACTGGCCAAGGAAACGTGGACTCAGGCAGGATGACTGCCACCCCCTCCTGCCTCGCCTGACAACCTCTGAGGGGCAGGAAGCACAGGATGACTCTTC